TGGGCCAAAAGGAGTGTATTAAGAACGTCACCCACTGCACAGTAAAATGAAATCCTCACACAGGTTGGCCCGGGATGCCCAGTGCTATTTCTGGATCAAGTACACTGAGAGCTGGTTCGGATTTGGCTGAAAGCAAGATGCGGAGAAGTGCCTCACTCCTCACTGTCTGGGGCCCGGCGCTAGCAGTATGCGTGTAGCAGGCTTATTAGTACTCTCCCTAAATTCATGGGACTTTCCCTTCCTTTTGCTAATGATGGAAGGGACCGCTGACAGAATGCTGCTGCAGTGGCAAGTCCCAGGCCTGCCTGAAGCCCAGAACTGCTGAGTTGAGGGCCCGAGGTAGAGCAGAGTTGGGGGCCGCCAGGGTGGAAAACTGCATCTTCAGGTTTTCGATAGGGAGGAACTGAGGTCATTGAGAACTTTGAAACTGCTTTCTGTGGACACCCCCAGAAAACAGTGAAACCAGTGTCCCTCTGCACTTGCGCGAATCTCTGCCTGCCTGTAATAACATTTGTGGGGAATCTAATGAATTGTGCCCAGAACCATGCCAGGCATTGTGCACTCCATTTCCTTTACTCCAGACTGCCCTTGGAGGAGTTCTGCAGCGCTGCTCCGTGTCATGGATGAGGGTCACTGGCGGAGTGGAGGTCTGGGGAGCTGGAATTCAAAACCTAGGCCTACCTGGTTTCCGCTGCACTTGGCTTGCGCCTGAATTCATCTCCAGCCCTTTCAAAGAAGCCCTGGTCCCTGTTGGCACTGCTGCCCCCCCAGCTCCCAGTTGGCCTTTCCAGCTCTTGGAACCATGCGTTTCTGGCCACGGAAGCAGGCTCTCGGGCTCCCCAGTACTAGGAGTCCCCGGCCCCTTGTTCTGGCCTTAGCTGCTCCTTTCCCACTTCCTGATGTCACTGTACTGTGCCTTCAGCACGGGTCTCACCACCCTACCTAAACCTGCAGTGGCACCTACTTCCTAACAAAACCCACAGTGGACCCCAGTCCTGACCAACTTTTTCCAACCTTCCCTCATCATCCCTTTTCAGTTCGTAGCTTCCACGTCTTCCTTACTGAATTACCGGGTTCACTCATTAATTCCACAAATACTGAGCCGCTAATTCTGGCCGGTCCTGTTTTCGGTGCATTATAAGTCCAGCAGGACAGTGTCAGGGCAAGCCTCGGAGAAAGCGTGGGCCTGGATGGAGGTGATCCGGCCCCAGCCCCCTCCCATCACCCGCAACGTGTTGCCTCTGTACCAGATCCCAGGAGAGTCACGAGCTGCCCATCCAAGCCCCTCCCCAGCCCTGTCCACCACCCTGGGCAAGGGCGGCTTGCCATCTCTGCCCTAGCCCTCCCTTTCCTTGCCTCGACGGCCGCCAGGGCCCTCCCCCAGGATACTTAGTCGGTTCTGAGTCCCTGGCTTTAGGTAGCCGTCAGCCTCAGGGCTTCCAGGCCCTTCCACGCGGCCGCCGAGGGTGGCTGCGCCTCCGCCTCCTGCCACGCGAGGGCAATGCCCTTCGGCCGCGTCCGGGATGGGTGGAGCCGTGCGCGTGCGTGCGGCCGGGGACGCCAGGGCCCCGGAAAGGCGGTCCAGTTCCGGCGTCCGAGGCCTGGAATTGGAGGAACCTTAGGGCCCCGCAGCGCCCTCAGCCGACCGTGGGCCATGTGGCTGCCGAGCTACAGGCCTCCGGGCGGGCGCGCGCCGGGTGTCGCTTGGAAGGCCTTGGGCCTGGGCCAGACAATGGGGCGAAGGACCGCGGGCCTCGGGAGGTGCCCTGCCCTCCGCAGAGAATGGCGGTGACCGGAGAGCGGCGGGCCGTTATCCAGGCCAGCCTGGCGAGCCCAGGAGGAGGGGCTCCTGGCAACCAGGGGCCGGCGGGGAAGGGAGGTGTTCCAGGACGGCCCCACCTCAGGTGGGACGGCGTCGGCGGCGCAGCAGAGGAATCCTTGACACCGAGGAGCTCATCAGGGTGGTCCCAGCTCCGTCCAAGGTTCCTGCCCTTCTAGTGCTTGAACTGCCACTCCAGGGCGTCTGACTCCTGCAGCCACAGAACTTGGCAAGTCGGCCACCCCCGAGGGTGATCCTGGCCCTTGTGACACTTGTGCTGCCGGGTGGACAATGGCCCATCGGATACGGTGCCGGGGCGTGGGGAGGGCTGCGAGCTCCGGGCTGCGGCCGACCGTGTGGCCTTGCGCCCCTTCTGGCGTCCTCCCCTAAAAAAAGGGCTGGTGAGAGGTTTGGAGGGTGAATGTGTGCACAGGCTGGCCGGTGTTCCCGTCGTCCACAGAGGGGCATGAGGCCTATGTTCTCTGCAGCGCGGGGTTTTTTATTTAGAAGAAGCAATTAAGAGGGAGAGGTGCCGGGCCAGGCGTGGGAGAGCGTCAGGAGGCGGATGCCCATTAATCCTGGCGTTTGAAAGCAAAGGGGAGAGCAGAGGAGGTGCACACACTTCCTCCCCAGGGCTGGCTTCCTGCCCTGGATAAAGTGGGGATGCGGGCTGGAAGACCTTCTTGGGTTGACCCTTCGTCTCTCTCAAACTGCCAGAGGGGCTTTATCTGTCACTAGTCATGCCTCAGTGTTCCACGCACTGTTTCTGCAGCCCTCCCTCCCCGGCCTCAAGACGCCCCCATCCCAGCCCTTCTTGCCTCTTGTAACCCATTTGCCTCCCGACCTCCTGTGAGGTCTTTAAGGCATGAACCAGATCCTGTCACTCCCCTGGGTAAAACCTGCCAACTCCTTGCCCTGCCATGGCGCCTCTGGCTGCAAATGGCAGAGAAACCAAGAAACAGCACGTGACTGCTGACTCCATGGCCCACCAAGGCCGAGGCTGGTGCTATCTTCACTGTTCCTGCAGGCACCCTGTCCCTTTTTTATCCAGAAAAGGGACAGGGTCAGATGTCAAAGGGATGTGCCATGCACACTTGTCCCTTTTACAAGGCTTTCTCAGAAGCCCAGCCACTGCTTTCATCTCACTGACTAGACTGGGGGCATGTGGCCACCTCCAGCTGCAAGGGAGCTTGGAAAGGCATCTTTATCTGGACACACTGGAGCACAGAACAAGTTGGGGTTCTATCAGAAAAGGTTGCTATTAGGAAGGCACCTGGGAAGGTCTCCCAGAGTCCCCAAGGCACTGTAACTTGGCCCGGCTGCCCTCTGCGGTTTCATCACCCCTCCTCCCACCCCGGGATTCAGCTACATTCGGTCCCTCTGCAGCCGTCAGCGACTGCTCTTCCTCTCGGACTGTTCAGATATCTCCTAGTCACTCTCCCAAGCCTCGCTGGAAAACAAGGAACTTTGATCCTGCAGCGCTGACTAGATGTCATGCAACTATTTAAGAAAAACATGGCCCATTCAAACACGCAGATAAGGAGAAGATTTTGGCTGTGGATTGAATTGTGTCCCCCCCAAAAGATGTGGAAGTCCTTGTCCCAGGTTCCTGTGAATGCAACTGAACTTGGAAAACAGGGTCTTGGCAGATGTTAGTAGTTAAAATGACGGGTGTCCTTATAAAAGAAGACATGGTGATGCCCCGGGGAGACGTCCATATGAAACGGAGGCAGAGGTTGGAGCAATGTGTCTACAAGCCAGGATTGCTGGCCACTGCCAGCTGCGGAAGAGGTTAGGATTCTCCCGCAGAACCTGGGGAAGGAACTGGCGCTGACGACACCTGAATTTCAGGCCTCTGGCCTCCAGAACATCAGTGGAATAAGCATCTGTTGTCTCAGTCACACACTGTGTGCTATTTGTTACGGCAGCCTTTGGAAACCATGACATTCTACAAGATAACTGTCAAATAAGAAAAGCAAAGAACAGAGCAGTTCTTGAGCACGGAGGCCATGCTCCCTGGGGGGCACAGATGTTCCCATGGGCCAGCTGCGCCATCCAGCCTGGCCTCCAGCAAGGGAAGGGCGTGCTGGCTGGAGGCTCTCCTCCCTACAGCACTTTTAAAGTTTTACCATGTTAATATATTACTTAGTCTAAATAATAAAAACAAAACCTCACACCTCTGTGAGCCGTCCAATGTCCCAATTTGTTGGTTTAACCATCAGTGTTGAGGCAGGAGTGGAAGACCTGGTTTTCAGCATTTGCCTGGTTTCTTTCAAAGGAAAGAGAAGTGTGAGAGGCTGAGGGCCCTCTCTGGGGAAGGAACTGCTGCCTGGGGCCTCAGGGAGGGGACTGCTGAAGGAAGGGAGCTTGTGACTTACCCGAGAACACCACACTCTGGGGTCACCAGCCAGCCCCTTCCTGGCCTCCTGCCCCTGGTAACTGCAGATGAGCCCAACATCACGAGCTGATGCTGGGGATTCAATGGGGTGTAAAAGCCTGGGGAAGCTGGCCCCACTCCTGGAGGGAGAGCTGGGGGTGCTCTCTCTTGGTCACCCCTGCATGTGGGTGGGGCTTTTGGGCCCCACAACTGGGAAGAAAGGAAAGAGCCTGCAGAAGGGTGGACTTAGGTGCCCAGGACCGGCTCCAGGAGGAGAGGTAGGGGTGTGTGGACAGTGAGACACCCCTTTGGCAAACAAGGCTTCCAGGAATAGACCTGGGTGCGGTCTGATCTCAGGTCAGCCTTCAGAGCTCCACTGAGACCTCCCCTTCTCTGAGAGGCCATTTCTGGCCTCAGCTAGCAGCCCTCTCCGTGCCTTCACCACGCCGGGTACTCCCAGAGAGCTCTTTCCACACGCTGCTCGCGCTGCCCAGCTGGAGAACGAGCAGGGACCAGGTTTCCCATCCCTGGGATGACCATGTTCAGAAGGGCACTTGCTGAACGGCAGAGGCCCCATCCAGCATATCTGTGACCTGTACGCAATCCTGCTGCTTCCATTAGCCCTATTTTGTAGATGAGGAAACTTGAGGGTGTGAATGTACCACCAGAGCTTGCCCCAGGCCACACAGCTAGGGCTGCCATCAGGGCCCAAGGGCACACAGACCACCCACTGGCCTCTCTGACTTCAGGGGTTGGGGGGAGTGAAGCCCCTTTCTCTGTGAACATAAATGAAGCCCCACCCTCTTAAAAAAACAATACTTTATTCCCTGGGAGGTTTCTGTACAATGATGCCATATGCATACAGGATGGAGTCTTATCTTCCTTGAGCACAGCCCGCCTCTGGGGACAGCTTGTCACACTGCCCAGGAGGCCAAGCCCCATTCAGGGCAAAGGATGCCTGTCACCTCCAACCTGTGCAAAGCAATCTGCTTCCCTGTCCAATCAGTCAGCCACGCGGTACTCCCTGTGCTGGGGCTGCCCCAAGCTTACACCACACCCTGGCTTGTGGAGACAGTCCCTAGAGTGTGAACTCCGGTCCCCCTCAGCCTGGAGAGTTCACACCTGAGCCACTAACAGTTCCTTTGTGGCCTCATGGGAATACCAGTTCCGTGAGATTGCCCCGGAAAGACACCATGTGCTGGGGAGTGGGGATCCTATACTGATCTTGCTGACTGCTGACCCCTCTGCACACTTTGGGGAATGTAGTGGGCCAGAGCGCCAGAAATCAGCTGACCTATGTCCCCATTCTACAGACTGGTGGCCTGAGGTCCAGAGGGTGAAAAGCCTTCCCTCTGCCACAGCTGTATGGAATGGTGACAGCTGCCCCACTAGCCTGTGCCTGGTCCTCACCCCCATCCTTAGGCTAACGGAGCCTCCTGGAGGTCCATGGCTTCTTAGCTGGTTGCCCAGGTCAGCCTCCAGTGGTAGTATTCCCAGCAGTGCCACACAGAGAAGCTGAGGTGCAGCTCAATACCTCCAGGAAGCACTCCGGCTGCTGCTCTGTCCCTAACAGAGCTGCACAGGTGGCCAAGGAACGACCCTGGAGCCCTGCCAGGTGGAGGATCCACAGTTAGTGAATCACTGATCAGCACATGGGCGGGTGGTGGCTGGGGTCTCAGAGAAGGGCTGGAGTGTAGGCTACACGTCCAGGCTCAGTGCTGCACGCTGCACAGGCCTCACCTCCAAGCTTCCTGATGGCACAAGATGGGTGTGAGGAGGCCCTTTCCACAGCTGAGAAATCCGAGGACGTCAAGTGTGTGGCCAAGGCAACCCATCTAATGAGTGGCATTCAACCCAGGCCCGATGGGAATCCACAGCCCACTGCGGCTGGACGGGGCGGTCAGCTGCGGTGCCAGTTCACCTCTGCATGGGGTCGCTGAGAAGAGGCCCCGGGGAGGCCAGGCCCTGCCCAGCTGAGTGCGGGGCTTCACAGGCTGGACGGCTGGGCCAGGGCCACAGCCTCGCCCTCCGGCCGCGCCTCCTCGCCACGCGCGTAGGTGAGCACCACGGTGACAGTGGCGAAGGTGGCGGCGTTGACCGGGAAGGCGCGCAGCAGCGTGGAAGCCAGGCCGCGGGTGAAGACGCGCCAGCCCTCGGCCCGGTAGCTCTGGCTCACGCAGTCGAGGATGCCCTGGTAGCGCGGGGCGCCCCGCAGCCCATCGGCCTGCAGCCGCGACTTGACCACGTCCACGGGGTAGGTGGAGAGCCAGGACAAAATGCCCGACGTGCCGCCCGCCAGCAGCAGCTTGGGCACCAGCAGGCGGTCGCCTGGCTCACAGCCCAGCGCGCGCGTCAGCACGTCGTAGGAGAGGAAGTAGACACCGAAGCTGGGTGTCTCACGCAGCAGGGTGGACGCCATGCCGCGGTTAACGCCGCGGAGCCCCTCCCTCCGGTAGATCTGCGCCAGGCAGTCCAGGGAGCCCCGGTAGGTGCGGGCCGGGCCCGCGTCCTGCAGCTGCAGCCGCGTCTTGGCCAGCTCCATAGGGCAGCAGATGACGCACTGGATGGCGCCTGCCGCTGCGCCCGCCAGGAACTGGTTCAGCGGCGAGTCACGGCCCAGGGCCCGGAGGGTGTTGCCCTGCACGCCGAACACCAGCGCGTTGATGAAGGTGAGCCCCATGAGGGGTGAACCCAGGCCCTTGTACAGGCCCAGCACCTGCGGGCCCAGATACAGTCAGGTGCGCTCCTGCCCAGGGCTGTGGGTTGCCCAGCCCACCTCCCTGGGCCCTCCAGGCAGGTGGCAGCAGGCCCAGCCCAGCCCACCCCAGGTACTCAGGAGGCTCATGCAGAATTTTACTAGAACAGAAGTCCTCCAACTAAGGGCCTGGGCATTCCCACCTTCCCATTTCCGAAGTCTTGATTTGCTCGTTAGCCCCCTAACACCTTCTTTTCTAGCTCTGTAGTATGGGCTGCAGCACCCTGAAGGTGGTTCCCCACGCCCACTGCCTCAGGCCCAGGCCACTCACGCTCTCCTGCTTGATGATGGACTGGAAGCAGTGCAAGGTCCCTCGGTACTGGGGCTTCTCCACGCTCTGGACCTGCAGCCGCACCTGAAGAAGAGGGCCCAGTGAAAGACGGGCACTCCTGGGCCAGACACCCGCTCCTGTCAAGCACTCAGGACCCCTGGGGGAGGCTCTCTCAACGAGGCCCAAGACCAGATGCCGGAGGCAGGGAGCCAGGCAGCTTTCTGTGGCGTTTAGATTCTAGAGTGGCGAAGGACCAGGTGTCCTGTGCCTCTTCAGGGAGGGGTATCAGGGGACAAACAGCCACAGAGACAGCCAGCTACAGAGGGGGGAGGGGTCCCCAAGATCTCAGACAAGTAGAACCTAAGCCTCTTGTTTCGTTATCTCTGCACAGTGTACTGATAGCAGGTCAAAAAGCAACTCGAGACCACCCCACTGCCCTGGTGGTAAAACATGGCCAGTGCCAAAGGGGAGCCCGACTTAATGTCCCACCATTCAACTCCCCTCATCAGGGTCTGCAGCACAGCAACGGGAGTTAAGAGCAATGAATGTTGGGCTCTGAGAGACTCGTTTCTGCCAGCATCCCCTTGTTGAGGACAGTGGTCTTGAGTTAACAAAGCATGGGGACCTCCCTTGGGGACCATGTCAGCACCTCCAGGGCCTGGGGACTCAGGCCCAGCTGCCCTTGGAGTCTAGTGGTCTAGAACCTCTCACAGTGAAAGTGTGTTTTGTTACCAAGAGCTTATCTCTGCACTTGATCCCCAGGCCCCACACTGCAGCACAGTGGACACATTTCCCAGACTCAGAGTCCGTATCACGGGACTGGGGGATGGGCTAGGTTAAGTCACATTCTCCGGAGCTGGTCCCAGCTCTGACTCAGAAATCATCATCACAGCCAAGGCATGTCACGATTGTCCCCTCGAGCTGGGTGGCACCAGAAGGACTTTGCACACTGGAGCCACCTGCTGAGGTGGGTGGACATTTGTTTTTTTGGTAGAAATCAGTAACAGATGTTGGAGTTTGGCTGTATGAAGGGCTGCTGTTTTTAGTTTCTGTGTCTCTATTACGGTTAAATTCTTTTTCCAACATACATGACTTTTGTAATAGAAATCTAAGCCAGAAAGGAAAATGTGTACCTGATGATTAGAAACACATTTAAAACGATCACACACACACACACACACACACACACAGGGGCACAGCGGCAGAGGGGGCTTCTGAAGACAACACACAGAATGTAAAAACTGATCTGTCTGGTGGAAGGTAATCATTTGCTTCCCTGTATTTCCCAACTTCCTTTTCATCAGAATGTTTAACTTTTGTAATGGAAAACAGGCAGTAGAAAAATAAGGCCATTGGTGATATGGCATTGAATTAAACCAAGTGAGTGTGCTCCTGGGTCACAATGTGATCGTGGGAGCCCATGGCCAGGACAAAAGGGCTCACAAGGGCTGGTGACAGTGGTGATTACTGGGGGCAGTTTTCTTCCCTTCATAATAAAAAGCCTGGCTTTTTAAGACAGGTTTGCCCAGATGCGATGCTGGTGGGCTGCAGAAAAACTGTCACAAATGCATTTCCTTGAAAACCACTCACCAGGTGCCAGGTAAGGGAAGGTCCATGGGCAGGAACCAGTGGGGTGGGGAGGTTCCTGCACCCCAACTAATATAGTAGGTTGCAGGGGGTGCTGGTCATGGCTCAGGAGCTCAGAGGAGGTTGGAGGCATGGGACATAGGGCTCCCCAGCCTGGTGGGGACTGACTGAGGGGGTCTGGAGGTAGCCTGTCTGGCCAGGACCTGGGTACAGCTCAGAGAGACCCGGGCTCTGCAAAGCTGGGCTCAAGAAGTGAATCAGAACCATTTCTTGGCTGGACACAGCTTTGACAGGCATTTACAACACGTGACCGCATGATACAAACACAGCATAATGTGACCACTGCCAGGCTGTCCTGGGCTGCTCTGGCCTGTGGGCAAGCTTCACAGGGAGGCCAGCAGGGCAGAGCTCACGCAGCTGGTTGGCCAGCCCCCACCAGGGCTTGCTCTTCACCAGCCCATGTAGTGGTTCAGGGGCCACTGTGTGGCAAGGAAGCCTGGCCCTTCCTCCTCTTCCCCAAATTGGCTGCGGTGGGATGAAAGGAATCTGTGCTCCTCAGAACTGGCATTTCATGTGACACAAACTATAGCACTGGGTACCACACACACAGGGTCTGTTAGCCTTGTCCTACCCCTCATTTTGCAGATAAGAACATTTGGGCCCAGAGGTAAAGTGACTGGCCCAAGGTCACACCACAGACCAGCCTGCAGGGGGGCTTGGACATGCACAAGGCTCAGGGACAGAGCCAGTGCATAAGGCAAGGCCCTCATGCATCTGCTGCATGAAATGCCAGCCCTAAGTCCACAAGCCCTCTTCTTGGCCAAGAAACACCTGGGCTCCACTGAAAAGGAGATGGGCAGTGACCTCACGCCCAGACAGGGATGAAGTCCTTGGGTTCGCTCCATCCTCACCCCAGGGGGAGGAGCTGCCAAATTCAGCATTCACAGCAGGACGTACGGTCTGGCCTAGGGCGCTGCAGCCTATTGCTTGCCCTGGGATCCAGGTGAAGCTGGCGAGCAAGGGTCCTGACATGGCTAGTTTAAGATCATAAAACCCCAGCATCAAAGAGAAAGTCTTATCTGGAAATTTCCAACCGGAGAACATGGATTTCCTTGGTTTCCATGTTGAGGATCTGCGAACCTGGAACTGGCTTAGCTGGGAGGAGAGATGGCTGACTGTGTGTGTGTCCCTGGGCCGCCCTCTGGAGCCACAGACGCGTTTAGGTGCCTGCCAGCCTTCAGGAAATGATTACCCTGCTTCTTGACAATGGTAATCACCACTCTATGAAGATTATGTTCAGGGGCGATATTGGCAAGTATCGATTTTTCTGTATTTCTGTGTTTTCTCTCAGGACTCTTCTTTCTTTCAAGAAGATGTCTGGGGGAGTTCTGCATAAGAGCCCCCACTCTGGGCAAGGGAAGCCTGCCTTTCGGCCCCTCTGTCTCAGCCAGCCAAATGCCAGGACAGACCCTGAAGTTTAGCCCCACCCAGGGGACATAGGGACAGACCCAGAAGGAAAGGCCAACTCAGCTCAGTGGACACGCACCCGCCCACCTGGGCGTCACGGAGAACTAAGTCCACCTTTCATCTATAACC